GATGCAGGCTGAGGCTGAGGCAGGCTGAGGCTGAGGCCGAGGCTGAAGGCAGACTGAGGCTGAGGCTGAAGCAGGCTGAGGCTGAGGCTGAGGCAGGCTGAGGCTGAGGCAGGCTGAGGCTGAGGCTGAGGCAGGCTGAGGCTGAGGCTGTGACTGCGACTGCCGTTGCACTGCGACTGTCATCGCGAATGCGACTACGACTGCGAGAACAGCAGAATTCTACAACTGGATTCTCATTTGAATCTTAAGGGGAATGCTTCCACATATGCTCCTACACATCGCTGTTGGGTTGCTTTGCCGGGATAATTTTTGTTGGTTCCTGCTCTGGTAGCAGACCGAGTTCAAGCATCGAGATATTGGCCATTCCTGGGCATGAATTTGAATGCCCGGAGCCAACTGTAGGCCACTTCGTGTTCTTCGAGTTCCCAGAACTCCATTCCTGGGCACGATTTTGAATGCCCGGAGCCAACTGTAGGCCACTTCGTGTTCTTCGAGTTCCCAGAACTCCAATCCTGGGCATGATTTTGAATGCCCGGAGCCAGCTGTAGGCCACTTCGTGGTCTTCGAGTTCCCAGAACTCCATTCCTGGGCATGATTTTGAATGCCCGGAGCCTACTGTAGGCCACTTCGTGTTCTTCGAGTTCCCAGAACTCCATTCCCGGGCCACATTTTGAATGCTGAGGCAGGCTGATGCTGAGGCTGAGGCAGGCTGAGGATGAGGCAGGCTGAGGCTGAGGCCGAGGCTGAAGGCAGACTGAAGCTGAGGCTGAAGCAGACTGAGGCTGAGGCTGAGGCAGGCTGAGGCTGAGGCTGAGGCAGGCTGAGGCTGAGGCTGAGGCTGATGCAGGCTGAGGCTGAGGCAGGCTGAGGCTGAGGCCGAGGCTGAAGGCAGACTGAGGCTGAGGCGAAGCAGGCTGGGCTGCAGGCGAGGCAGGCTGGACTGAGGCCGAGGCAGGCGGATGCTGTGATGTAGACTGAGGCTTGGCGCGGTGTGCCACCACAGGTAGAGGTTACCTGAGGGTGGCGATGCAGTCTGAGGCTTTTGGCACCTGAGGCTGGGTCAGGCTGAAGGTGACACCACTGAGGCTGAAGCACCTGAGGCTGAGGTGAACAGGCTGAGGGTTGACGGCAATGGCAGGTGATTGCAGGCAGGTGACGGTGGCTTCTTGCTGACCTGATGCAGGTGAGGCTTGAACGGCTGAGGTCTGAGGCCCTGGTGAGGCAACTGAGGCCTGCAATGGGCGGCAGGGATTCCAGAGGCTGAATGGCAGAGGCTGCAGGCGTGGCGAGGAGGCTGCTGGGACTACTGAAGGCAGACTGAGGCTGAGGCTGAAGCAGGCTGAGGCTGAGGCTTAGGCTGAGGCTGAGGCTGAGGCTGAGGCTGAGGCTGAGGCTGAGGCAGGCTGAGGCTGAGGCAGGCTGAGGCTGAGGCTGAGGCTGAGGCAGGCTGAGGCTGAGGCTGAGGCTGATGCAGGCTGAGGCTGAGGCAGGTGGAGGCTAAGGCCGAGGCCGACGGCAGACTGAGGCTGAGGCTGAAGCAGGCTGAGGCTGAGGCTGAGGCTGAGGCAGGCAGAGGCTGAGGCTGAGGCAGGCTGATGCTGAGGCAGGCTGATGCTGAGGCTGAGGCTGAAGGCAGACGGAGGCTGAGGCCGAGGCTGAAGGCAGAGTGATGCTGAGGCTGAAGCAGGCTGAGGCTGAGGCTGAGGCAGGCTGAGGCTGAGGCTGGCTGAGGCTGAGGCTGAGACAGGCTGAGGCTGAGGCTGTGACTGCGACTGCCGTTGCCACTGCGATTGTCATCGCGAATGCGACTACGACTGCGAGAACAGCAGAATTCTACAAGTGGATTCTCATCTGAATCTTAAGGGGAATGCTTCCATATATGCTCCTACGTATCGCTGTTCGCTTGCTTTGTCGGGATATTTTTTACCCAAATTCGATCGCATTCCCGCTCGCCGCCTTCATCTCAGGTCGATCGGGTAGATATTACTATCAAGAAGCATGTGGCCAGGATCGGCTGTTGAGTGTAATCTTGACATATGCTGTTGTTTTCTTAACTTAGTTCGAGCTGCAGATGAGCTACAGAGCTGTTCGAAACAACAATCGAAACATAATCATCAGAAACACTAGTTTGCAGTATCTAGATTGCGGACCTCGGTCGGCTACTAGAGCTGGAACTTGAAACATGTATATGTAACCTGTTATGTGTTTGAGATGATGATGATTTTTCCTAACATAACTCGAGCTGCATATGAACTACACATCTGTTCGGCACAGCGGTCGAAAGTCTCTCATCAGAAGCGCTAGATTCAAGCATCTAGATGCCCGGAATCGGTCTGCTACCAGAGCTGGAACCAACAAATTATTCGTGTTCTGATTTTTTGGGGAGATGCTGATGCTTTTCGTAACTTAACTAGAGCTGCAGGTGGACTGCAGGGCTGTTCGGCACAACAACTGGAAGGGATGGCACGGGGCGCTAGTCTCAAGTCTAGATGCCCGAAATCGGTCTGCTACCAGAGCTGAAACCAAACAACTGTTCGTACTCTTCATTTTTTGGGGAACCATGCTGGTTGTCTAACTTAGCTCGAACTGCAGATGAGCTAGAGCTGTTCGGCAGAACAATCGAAAGGAATTCATCAGGAACGCTAGTCCGAAGTATCTAGAAGCCCGAACTTGGTCTGTCACCAGAACTGGAACCAAATAACGTTTTTTCTTATTATATATATATATATATGTTTCGACATTTTTCGAAGCAGAAGGTCGCCATATACATTTGGCTACGGCATGGAGACGTCTCCTGGTTTTCTCCTCCCCTTCTTCCTCCTCCTCCTTGCCCTTTCCTTTTCCTTCTCCTCCTCCTCCTTGCCCTTCTTCCTTTCTCCCTTCTCCTTCTCCTTTTCTGTCTCCTCTCCCCTCCTCCTCCTCCTCCTCCTCCTCCTCCTTCTCTTTCTCTTTCTTCTCCTCCTCCTGTTCCTCTTTTTGCTCATTTTCCTCTTCCTCTTCCGCCTTCATCTGCCCCCTCTGCTCTTCTCCTCCTCCCCCTTCCCTTTCTCCTCCTCCTCCTTCTCCTACTCCTTTTCCTCGTCATCATCGCCCCCCCCTTCTCCCCCTTCCACTTCCCTTGCCTTCTGCTCGTCATCCTCGCTTTCTCCTTCTCCCGCTCCTTTTCCTTCTCCTGTTCCTTCTTCTCCCTCTCAGTCTCCTCCACCTCCTTCTTCTCCTCGCTCTTTCTTCTCCTCCACTTCCTCCTCGTGAAACCGCGTCCGGAGATTGCAGCGCCGGCGTGCCAAGGAAGCCCTGCGAGTTCCCGGCGGTAGCCGAGCAACGTCGGCTCAAGAGCAACGTCGCTCCAGACGAGGAGGGCGCGATGCGCCGCCTTCCCTTTTGCAGTCACTTCCACCTCCCCTCCTTCACTTCTTATATCACAGTCTCATTTTCTCTATTGTGCGTCCTACTCCAGCTCTCGTGTGATTGCGATTGGTCGAGGGAGGCGCGACGTCGTATCCTTTTTTCATCAGGTTTTGACAAGCCGCTGTACCAGACAGAAGCCAGACGAGGAGACTGGAGCCATCGACTCACCCATTGATCCGACAGAATCGATTGATTTGGACAATTATCTCAGAGGTCGGGGGACAGAGGGCCCAGCGGTCCACGCTGCATCCCGCAAGCGTACCATCCAGGACGACCAGGACTGGCGTCGACGCTGGGGGGCGCATCTGAGTCAACTCCACAGGGTAGCCACAGATATGACGGCAGTGCCTGATGTGACGATGGGCGATGACCGTGGGGTCGAGAGATGGGCGCAGGCGACGGCGCTGGAGGCGAAACGGGAGGCTTGCGAGAAGTCCATGGCCTCCTTCAGTGACGCTTGCAAGGCGGATGATGTCCCACGCTATTTCGGCAAGCTCGGAGATGCCCCGAGCGCCCTCGCCGCCCACCAGTCCAAGAATATGATTGAGTTGAAGCAGGAGATCACAGAGGTCAAGGATGATTCCGGTTCGCTCAGGGCTCGCAATAACAAGCAAGACACCAAGCTCGATCGCTTGGAGAAGGAGATCGCCTCCATCAAAGCAGGTGCGGCGGCGTCCACGGCGGCCCCGAGTGCAGGGGGTGCCGTGTCAGTCGGAGGTGCGGGGTCCCAGCGCCAATGGGATCCAGCATGCATTAAGCTCCGCGGCTGGGTCACGGGCGCCTCCGGTGCGATGTCGCGCTCAGAGACGCAGATCACGGACCTCGACTGCCAGCATCTTATTCGTAACTTACTCGACCTCCTTGGGGAGGAAGATAGAGCCAAAGTGGACGATGTCGGAACTCTTCGTATCAACGGCAACCAGCCCATGTTCTCCTTTTGCCGTATCAAGTTTTGCGCTGGCACAGATGGGGATGCACTATGGAACTGTAAACACCTGCGGGGCGCGGTTGTCCTGGATCCCAGCCAACGCACAAAGGCCCAGAAGCAGCTAGCAGGAGACCGCACCAAGCAGCACATGGAACGACATTCCCAGCAAACCATTATCAAGATCGAGGCTCCGGAGTGGAAGAAGGGCCTCATCGCCGCCGCGGGGCGTTTCCACGGCATCTGGAGGCAGAAGATTCTCAAATAATACCCGAGCACGAGCTTCGGGATCACAAGCCAGACAGGATCGGGCCAGGGCATCGGCACCATCTTGACGAGGCCGCCTGCTCGTCAAGCCCATCGTCCAATCGAACTTGCAGTCTGGAAGGCAGCAGAGGCGACCTTGACTATCCACAAGGATGTCTGGGACACGGTCTTGCCCCGCCGTGGCATCCAGACCACAGTGGCCTCTTCCCAATCCAGCTTGGAGTGGGGGTTCCGCGAGAGCGCGGACGGAGGCAGCGAGCCTTTCGCGGCAGGTTCTTTGAACGTTGCCAGAATTGATCGCCGCGATGCTAGAGGGTTTGCCCTATGCAGACAGCTCCTCCACGAGGGGGTTGCGGTGATCGGCCTCCAGGAGTGCCAGCATGCGCCTTTTCCGATGGGTTCAGACGGCTCGGATGGCTGGGTTGCCAATCCAGCTGCCTCCGAGCGGGGGTTCTGGTACGGGCACTGTACCGATGCAATATAATTCACACGTGGGTTAACCTAGATAGGATCGCAGGTGTGCTTTTCGGTAACGGTGTTTGTTTCTGCAGTGCTTTCAAAGACAGCTCACATGCTGACCCTCCGACGGATATGGGAACGATTTGCCGACAACTGCGGCAAGTGCGCCGTGGGGCGGTGCGCAGGCTCCCAGGCGCTCGCTTGCTTCTTGTGTGTGACGCCATTGTGGAGCTTGCGCCAGATCTTGTGTCGACACGGGGGGGGGCAGATCACGGGGGAGGGACTTATGATGGCGCGACAGAGGGGATGTGGGAACGATTCGGAGAGCAGACGGTGAAGGGGGAGATGAGCGGGCAGTTTGAAAATTTCAAGGGGGAGGAGAGGCTTGCTGCTATCACTACTTCTGTAGCACGGACTCCGACCTACTGGAAGTTGGGAGCCGCCATCCCTAGCAAAGTGCTAGCTGCTAGACTATGTTCGCATTCCGACGGCCCGGGGGAGAGGAGAGACCATAGTGAAGTGGCTCCGTGATGGAGCCCAGAGCTACCGCCGTTTGCGAAATAAACGCCCACGCGTGGAAGTACCGAGATCCCCGCCCCGCGCCCCGCATTTCAATGTTGGCCACCGAACACGCCGAAGGGGAATGCGAAGCGTTGCGAAATAAACGCCCACTTATGTTGGACTGCCCAGCCCTCCCCGTCAACCTTGAAATACGGGGGAAAGGGGGCGTGCTTCGACGTCTTGTTTTCGATCCCTAAGATGGGCGCTTACTTCGCAAACGGCGGTACCCCCCACGAGCGTCTTATAGTGACACAGCGCTGTACATTCACACACACACACATATATATGTATTCCCATATTTATATGTTGTATGTGTATATATGTATGTGTATATATACACGTGTATACATAAGTGTGTATGTACACCCTATTTGCACATCCATATGCCTTTCCCCTATGTGTGCATACACCCATGCGTGCACGTACGTGCATGCATGCATTCACGCCGCCACGCAATCCGAGGCTATTCACGCGACGCTACCCGTGCGGAATCGTCCGGTGGCGACACAACGCTGATGGCCCCCCTTACTCTCCCCTGCAGCTTCCGTCCACTCTGCCCTGTCTACCTCGTCTCGCACTTCTACCCCTTCGAGGCGTCATTTCCGCGCAAAGACGATGGATGCGCTGCCGGGTGCCACGCGCGCGCGCGTAACCCCACTGGGCGGCGCCAGCGGCGCCCGCGCGCGCGTGCTCACGGGGGTGCAAAAGCTGACAGGCGGGCGCTCGCAAACCAAGTGGACTTGGTTCAGCGGTGCCGCACGCTCGGCGTGCTTCCCGGAAGCGCAAAAAGCTGAGAGACGAGTGCGTGGCGCAACCCCCAAACGGGACTTCGCCAGCGTGTTACCGCACTGCGCAGATTCGCGAGGCATTGCAAAAGACGGTCGGCGGTGCTGCTGGGGGGAAGCCCAGGACGGCCGCGCGCTCCCTCATGGGCGCCCCGAGGATTTAGAGCCTGCCTGCCCAAGAAGTCTGCGCTTCTGGAGCGGGAGCAGCAAGGCCCACGAATTCAAACGGACCCAGTCCGCGGGGGGCACCTCGTCCACGGCAACCGCACCCATCGCGCGGACATCCGCCAGCAAGGCGTCTGCCTGCGCGCGGGGTATGCGCGCGTCGGACATGAGGTCGTCGAAGCCGCTCGCAGGCGGCACGCCCGCGTCTGCCCCGACCGGCGCAGCGGGCGCCGGGCGGAAAACGCCGACGGCGTCGAACTTTGCCGCCTCCCGGACGATCCGCGCGGTCATGCGCGGAGCACACGAGAGTACGTCCTGCAAAGAGCCGTCCGACAAGACGGAGGTGAATGGGAACTGCCTCACGCGGTTCTGCATGTGCCGGATGTCCTCCGCACCCACCTTATTCGTCGTCTCCCAGAGGCCCTCCAGCTTGCCCGTGAAAACGGCGCCGTGGTTCCAGCAGACGCCCTTGTTCCCGTCGTTGAAGGACTGGGAAACCTGGATCTCGGTGTGCTGGCCGACGAACAGAGACAGGAACAAAGAGACGGGGGCGGTCTTCTCGTGGGCGAACTCAACCGGCCGGAAGTCGCCCCAGAAGATGAACCGCTTCGTGCCGCTGGCCAGGTTCCGGAGTCCAAAGGAGGAGCCCAAGGCAGGCTTGTGCAGAACCCGTTTCGGAGTGAACAAGTCGTCGAAAGGGTAAACTACCGTGCTCTTCCCGGAATTCGACGGCCCCACCAGGAAGGGCACCCTCGTCGTCTTCTTCGGGCCGACCATCAGAATGTCCCGCAGAGACGCCGCGAGCTCCCGAACGTCGAAAGAAGCGGCGTTGCGGGAGAAGATGGTCTCCACGGCTGACCTGTACGAGCACGCCGGGCCATGGGGACATGTCTCCTCAGCGCAGCGGCACACGAGCGTCCAATCGTCCACCGCCTCGAAGGCCGCGTTCTCGCGGGCAGACGCCCACTCCTTCGTCTCCTCAAGGTCCGCCGTCAGCTTGCGCACTCGGCTGCGGACGAACCGCTGCATGGCCTTCGTCCCGCGGTCCTGGACGTACGCCATCAGGCTGCCCTTCGTCCACAAGTGCTTGGCGATGATGGTCGAGGTCAAGTCTACGAGGTCGAACGTCGTCTTCGTGCCCATCGCCCCGGCCGCCTTGTCCGTGGCCTCCCGGCGCTTCACCCGCACGCCTGCCATGTATGGCTCCTGCGACATCTCGAAGAGGTCGATGGCGTCGTTCTCGCGCGCGAACCCGGCCCAGTCTGGCTGCCACACCCACGGGGCGTCGTCGACATCTGGTTTGGCTGGGGTCTCCATATACCCGTACCTCACGGCGCTCCACATTCGCCGGTGGGAACCACAGAAATGGCTCGGCAACGAATGGCGCTCACGCAGAGTGCGCTTGGCCTGCTGGAAACGGCCCGACCTAGTCAGCTTCACAGCAACGTGGAAATGGATCGCGCCGTCTTTGTGCCTCTCCTGGAACACCACCGCCATGGACACGAGCGCTTGGCCGTCCGGTTCCTTCCTAGGGCGGCCGCCCGCGGACCCAGTCGGATTCGGATTGTTGAATGCGTCGGCCACTGTTTTTCCGATGTCCTCCCGGCTCATCGCGCCAAGATCGCGGTACTGGCGGCCGTCGGGAAGGGTCGCGTCCAGGACGCGCGATATGGTCACCAAGTAGACCCACTGCAACGAGTCCAGCTTCTCGGCCTCAGCCAACACGGTCTCCAGAGGCGACGCGGCGCCCTGGTCGGGCTGCGTTTCCGAAACGACCCCGGTTGTCAGGCTCTTGAACTCGTGCTTGCGTTGGTCCAAAGCATGCTCTTGCAAACCGAGTTTCAAAGCGACCTGGCGGTGGCACTCACGCAACGAAATGTGTTTCAAGTCCTTGCCTGCTAAGACGGCCTTCAAGGCGCCCCGGATGGCTTTGGTTTCGACGGCCTCGGCGCCCACGCCTGCGGACGGGACTGGGGGAGACGGCACCGCGTGCCCCGTGTCCGTCTTCTGCCGCAAGCGGCGCCTCGGCATAGAGGGGTCTGCGGGCATTGCAGTGCACGGTGCTCCCAGTGACAGGTGCCAAGGTCCGCACGGTTCCCCCTATAAGACTTGAGCCACAAGGCAGCTGCAGTGGTTTTAAGCACCAATGGCCCATGGCCATGAGCACCAGGACGGCTGTGAGCACCACTTCAAAGCCTGAGAGCACCTCAGAGCCCATTAAGTAAGAACGGCTTGAGCCGAAGCGCCTGTGGGCGCTACAAGGCTGGCGATCACCGCAACAGCCTCAGAGCACCACAGAACTCGAAAGGACCTCAGAGCACCGCAACAGCTACAGAGCACCACAGGACGTGAGTCTCAACGTGCCTGCGAGCACCGACTGGTCAGAGGAAGGGGGAGGGAGGGGGAGGGAAAGGTATGCCCACCAACTGGACATCGACGACATTCCCAAGACAACCCAAACAGGCGCTGGAACTGCCAAATGGCCCAAGATTGCCCCGAAACCTGTCTGGGTCGGAGCGGGAAAACCGATGCAACTTGTCCCAAGAGTGCAAGCGAGGCCGATTCCCTCTCCCTGAATCCACCGCACTCCGAGGGCTCTGGAAGCGGGGGGCGGAGGGGTGGAGAGGACTTGGAGGTTCTGGAGGGTTCTGGAGGTTTTGGGAAGTCCTCCGAAAGTAGAAAGAGTTTGGGAGGGTTCCGGAGGATTTGGGAGCAGTGCGAGGGTTTCGGATGTATGGGGAGTTGTGGAGGTTTTGGGGGGAGCGCGGAGGGGTTAGGAGGTATGGGAGGGTTCTGGAGGGTTCTGGAGGTTTTGGGAGGTCTCCAATAGCTTCGCTGTCGATTTCAAGATCGATCTCACGATCAATATCACTATCGATCTCACTGTCGATTCCACGGTCGACCTTAAGATATATCTCAAAATCCACGATCGATCTCAGAATCGAGCTCACGAAATCCGCAGCAAATTCAGTGGGGCGCCAGAACGTACGAAGATTGTATAATCGTAGAAAACCAATAACATTGCACAGAATCGGACTCTCCAGGTGCTCTCCAGGTGCACTCCCGGTCAAGCGGCCGCCTCGCGACAGGGCGACGCGACCCTGCGGGCGTCTGAAGGACGATGATAATGGCAATGCCAATGGAGGGAGAGCGGGAGGCAGGGAGGGAGCGCAAGCGGCGGCCCACATTGCCAGGAATCGGTGCTCTCGCCTCCGCGCCGGGCAATCCTTACAAGGGGGCGCGCAGAGTCCTGAGAAGAAAAATCCCCCCTTTTAGGACGCCGAATTTTCCACCCGGCTGCCCTGGCCCCCTGGGGGTCCCCCGTTGCAATCTACCCCTGTTGTCCGAAAACAACAAAAAAACAAAAAAGTTTCGTTTACGTGTCCTTCCCTGCTCCAATTCAATACCCCTCACAGACTCCGAACCCTCCCTCGGGCAGCAGGGACTACTCCGTCAATCCACAAGAGCAATTAAATCTCTGCGGAAAATCTCGGGAGTGTGTGCTTACCAAGCTTGGGAAGGTAGCGCGCCGTGAATGGGGCTGGGGAAGGTGAGTGCCTGGCCGTAGGCCTTCCGGTCCGGACACGTAATCAAAAAAAACGACGGGGGGGGGGAAGCGTGGCCAGCGCGACGGCGAGAGCACCATTCCGACGTCCACGTGCAACCCTGTGGTACGTAACGGGCCCACAAAGAAAACGGCTCCGACACGAGCGAGGGATCCATGTTCAAACATATTTTCTCGGAGTGTACGCCTGGGGCGTCCGCCGTCGACATGGGCGCGGGTCCTGGCGCGGTTCGGTCTGGCCCGGCAAAAGCCTCGGCGCCTGGGCGGGCGTGCGCAAGCCTCTCCCGATAGGGAGGAGAGAGGAACACGCTGTGGCCAGCGCGACGGCGAGGGTGCCATTCCGACCAGCGACCCGAACACGGCGAACTTCGCCCACGACCCGCGCTCGCGACCTGCGACACGACGCGCGCCCCGCGCCCGCCACCCGTCTACGATCCGTCTGGCCTGGCGGCCCCAACTAGAGCACAACCTAGAGCACAACCTAGAGCACAACCTAGAGCACAACCTAGAGCACAACTCATGAAGGTATATATTTTCATAGAAAAAATGGCACTCAACCTTCCCAAATCAAAAAAGAATCAATACTTTCTTTATTTTCGAACGCGAATGCGTGCCAGACTACCATGAAATGAGTTGTGCTCTAGGTTGTGCTCTAGGTTGTGCTCTAGGTTGTGCTCTAGTTGTGCTCTAGTTGTGCTCTAAGGCGGCCCCTGGGATAAGCGGTCGCCTGCCCTCCCCGCCCCCGGACCTTCAATCCGACGGAATTGGCTTTCCTCCGTGTTTGGTAGAAGTGGCATAACGCACCGCCAACAAGTCACGAAGGCAAGCGCTGTTGGTCGCAGCACCGGCCGCGAGCTCCACGTTGCAAGCGCCGGGCAACGCGCCCTGCCGCCTCCTCCGCCGCGGGCCAGACGCGCGGGCAACGCGTTGCACGATGTTCTGGACACACGTGCAAACGACATGAAGCCGCAATGATACGCAGGCTGTGTCCCGCGCGGGCCTGCAGCAAGGCCCGCGAATTCAGACGGACCCAGTCCGCGGGGAGCACCTCGTCCACGGCAACCGCGCCCATCGCGCGGACATCCGCCAGCAAGGCGTCTGCCTGCGCGCGGGGTATGCGCGCGTCGGACATGAGGTCGTCGAAGCCGCTCGCAGGCGGCACGCCCGCGTCTGCCCCGACCGGCGCAGCGGGCGCCGGGCGGAAAACGCCGACGGCGTCGAACTTTGCCGCCTCCCGGACGATCCACGCGGTCATGCACGGGGCACACGAGAGTACGTCCTGCAAAGAGCCGTCCGACAAGACGGAGGTGAATGGGAACTGCCTCGCGCGGTTCTGCATGTGCCGGATGTCCTCCGCACCCACCTTATTCGTCGTCCCCCAGAGGCCCTCCAGCTTGCCCGTGAAAACGGCGCCGTGGTTCCAGCAGACGTCCTTGTTCCCGTCGTTGAAGGACTGGGAAACCTGGATCTCGGCGTGCTGGCCGACGAACAGAGACAAGAACAAAGAGGGGGGCGGTTCTCGTGGGCGAACTCAACCGGCCGGAAGTCGTCCCAGAAGATGAACCGCTTCGTGCGCTGGCCAGGTTCCGGGAGTCCAAAGGAGGAGCCCAAGGCAGGCTTGTGCAGAACCCGTTTCGGAGTGAACAGTCGTCGAAAGGGTAAACCACCGTGCTCTTCCCGGGAATTCGACGGCCCCACCAGGAAGGGCACCCTCGTCGTCTTCTTCGGGCCGACCATCAGAATGTCCCGCAGAGTCGCCGCGAGCTCCGAACGTCGAAAAGAAGCGGCGCTGCGGGAGAAGATGGTCTCCACGGCTGACCTGTACAGAGCACGCCGGCCCGGGGACATGTCTCCTCAGCGCAGCGGCACACGAGCGTCCAATCGTCCACCGCCTCGAAGGCCGCGTTCTCGCGTCGTCTCCTCAAGGTCCGCCGTCAGCTTGCGCACTCGGCTGCGGACGAACCGCTGCATGGTCTTCGTCCCGCGGTCCTGGACGTGCGCCATCAGACGCGCGGGCAACGCGTTGCACGATGTTCTGGACACACGTGCAAACGACATGAAGCCGCAATGATACGCAGGCTGTGTCCCGCGCGGGCCTGCACTAAGGCAAACGCGCGTAAAGCGCGGGAGTCGCGAGCACCGCAGGGTCCTCGCCATGGGCAGCCGAGCACCTCCCGAAAGGCACGGATGGAACAGTAGCAGCGCGGCTACGATTTTCAAGTCTACGGATCCACGACACGTTTCTCGGTGCATGCGCTGCGGCAGGAATTCTGAAATCTCTCGGCGGTCACTGAGGAAAAATCCGCTGTGGCAGAGGCCAAGCCGCCGATTCGGCTGGCTCCCCGGCCGCGGCTGGAAAAATTGCGTCGTGGCAAAGACCGTGCCGCCGACTCGGCTGATCAGCGCCAACGCTCCCGGGCCGCAGGCTCAATCGCTCGGGATCCTGCCTCCCTCGGCCACGACGACCTCCGCCGCCTTCGTCTTCATCTTAGCCACGGCTGCCCTGATGACGCTCTTCGGGATGCCCATGGCGACGCGCCTGAGGCGCGCCTTGTAAGCGCTCTGAGACTCGTTGGCCGGCGCGCTCTGCTCTGCCATTCGCCGGTTGACCTCCGCCCAGAGGAAGTAGTCGAGGGGGTTCAAGTCCGGGGAATACTTGGGGAACTTGATGGGGGTGATCTTGAGACCCCGCCTGAGAGCGACCGAGCGGGGTCGACCGGGGCGCGAGCGGCGGGCGATCAAGAGCGGGCGCCGACTGGCGGGGCGATCGCCAGACGGGGCCCGACTCGAACTCGCGGCCGCCGCGGTGGCGCGCCAACTAAGGGGGCCGCTTGCAGTCAACGGCCTTCTTGCTCTTGTACCCCGTGGGGTCGTTATCCTCCAGGATGCGGAAGGCGCGGCGCCCCTTCCGGCAACGGCGAAGCGCGGGAGCGAGGACGCCCGCGTAGAAATCGCAGGCTGCGTCGGCGCACCACAGGGTGGGCAGGTAGTGCCAGACGCGGACCTTGTTGTTCACGATGGCTGCGGCCACGTGAACCTTGGCGCCTGGGTTCACCCTGTTCCGGTTCCCCTTCGGCTTCGTGAAAGGCTTGAGGACCTCGGGGGAGGGCCCGGCCAGCCGGCCCCCCGCCCGGCCCCCCCCCCCGCCCCTCGCATCCGAAAGAAACTACGCCAATAAGAACCCTCATACCAGAAAGAAACGACGCCAAGAAAAACATGTCCGATCGCCTGGACGGGGCCGATCAGACCCGATCAGACTTGGATCGCAGACATGGATCGGGGCAACGATCGGGGGCGGAATCGGCATCTCGACTTCGGCGGCCCGGCGGCCCCCGCCCCCAGCCCCTGGGATCGCACTCGGGACCGAGAGTCGCGCCCCCTCTGCCTTGGTGCGAAGGTGGCCGCGAACGCGACTCTTCTTTGCGTGCGTCTTCGCCCGCTTGGTCATGGGGATGGGGAACACCTTATTGTCGATGATGGCATCGACCTGGTGCGTGAAATAGTTGCCCGGGAGCCGCTTCCACCCCGAACGCGCGGCCACGCGCTCCTCCGCCTCCGCGGAGCCGCGGAGCGGCTCCGCGCGGGGAGCGCGCCAGGTGACCCCGAGGCGCTTGAAGTGCCTGGAGGCCGTGCCCTTGTGGACGTCGGAGACCCGCGCGGCCTTCATCACGTCCTTGAGGTGAACCTCGGCCTCGCCCTTGGCCGCCCGAATCAAACGAACCCGCGCGTTGTTCAAGGCGCGGAGCTTGACGGCCGTGAGCTCGGGCTTGCGGCCGCGAGTCTCCGCTGGGCCACGCCTGTGCGTGGCGCCCCGGAGGGCCCGGCGGACGGTCGTCAAATCTGGCCCAGTCTCGTCGAGGGACTCACGGGTCCGACTAACGAGGTCGCGTATCTCCACCGGGGTCTTCCCAGCGGCGTAGAGCGAGAAGCAGAGGTCGAGCTCCCTCTTGCTGAGGTGGGGCGCCATCTGGGCCCGCGACCGAAAAAGGGGTCAGATGGCCTCGGGGCGGGGCGAGGCCGTTGCTGCGGTGGCGACTGAGCCGAAACAGCTGCGCCAGGTGAACGGAAGGCTTGTCAATGTGACCGGAGCACGCGGCGGCGTTCATAGTCTGGCGTCGCTCCTGACGCCGCCCTCAAGACGGGGGGCTTCGGGCAGCCTCAAAGTCCTTGCAGGGCGCCAACAGGAGAGCGCAACCCGTTGGGCAGCGGGGAGGGGCCAGTCTTGCAACGCAACCCATGCAGATGCCCGTAGCCGAAGATGCCATGGCAAATGAGTCCGCCGTTTGCGAAATAAACGCCCACGTGTGGAAGTACCGAGATCCCCGCCCCGCGCCCCGCATTTCAATGTTGGCCACCGAACACGCCGAAGGGGAGTGCGAAGCGTTGCGAAATAAACGCCCACTTATGTTGGACTGCCCAGCCCTCCCCGTCAACCTTGAAATGCGGGGGAAAGGGGGCGTGCTTCGTCGTCTTGTTTTCGATCCCTAAGATGGGCGCTTATTTCGCAAACGGCGGTACCCCCCACGAGCGTCTTATAGTGACACAGCGCTGTACATTCACACACATATATATATAGTATTCCCATATTTATATGTTGTATGTGTATATATATATATATATGTATATATACACGTGTATACATAAGTGTGTATGTACACCCTATTTGCACATCCATATGCCTTTCCCCTATGTGTGCATACACCCATGCATGCACGTACGTGCATGCATGCATTCACGCCGCCACGCAATCCGAGGCTATTCACGCGACGCTACCCGTGCGGAATCGTCCGGTGGCGACACAACGCTGATGGCCCCCCTTACTCTCCCCTGCAGCTTCCGTCCACTCTGCCCTGTCTACCTCGTCTCGCACTTCTACCCCTTCGAGGCGTCATTTCCGCGCAAAGACGATGGATGCGCTGCCGGGTGCCACGCGCGCGCGCGTAACCCCACTGGGCGGCGCCAGCGGCGCCCGCGCGCGCGTGCTCACGGGGGTGCAAAAGCTGACAGGCGGGCGCTCGCAAACCAAGTGGACTTGGTCAGCGGTGCCCGCACGCGCGTGCTTCCGGAAGCGCAAAAGCTGAGAGTCGGGCGTGCGCAACCCAACTGGACTTCGCCAGCGGTAACCGCACCCGCACCCTCGCGAGCATGCAAAAGACGTGGGGCGGAGCGCTGGGGGGAAGCCCCCGGCGCTGCCCGCGCGCTCCCTCAGGGCGAAACCGGAGAGCCATTTTGCCCAAGAAGTCTGCGCTTCTGGAGCGGGAGCAGCAAGGCCCACGAATTCAAACGGACCCAGTCCGCGGGGAGCACCTCGTCCACGGCAACCGCACCCATCGCGCGGACATCCGCCAGCAAGGCGTCTGCCTGCGCGCGGGGTATGCGCGCGTCGGACATGAGGTCGTCGAAGCCGCTCACAGGCGGCACGCCCGCGTCTGCCCCGACCGGCGCAGCGGGCGCCGGGCGGAAAACGCCGACGGCGTCGAACTTTGCCGCCTCCCGGACGATCCACGCGGTCATGCACGGAGCACACGAGAGTACGTCCTGCAAAGAGCCGTCCGACAAGACGGAGGTGAATGGGAACTGCCTCACGCGGTTCTGCATGTGCCGGATGTCCTCCGCACCCACCTTATTCGTCGTCTCCCAGAGGCCCTCCAGCTTGCCCGTGAAAACGGCGCCGTGGTTCCAGCAGACGTCCTTGTTCCCGTCGTTGAAGGACTGGGAAACCTGGATCTCGGTGTGCTGGCCGACGAACAGAGACAGGAACAAAGAGACGGGGACGGTCTTCTCGTGGGCGAACTCAACCGGCCGGAAGTCGCCCCAGAAGATGAACCGCTTCGTGCCGCTGGCCAGGTTCCGGAGTCCAAAGGAGGAGCCCAAGGCAGGCTTGTGCAGAACCCGTTTCGGAGTGAACAAGTCGTCGAAAGGGTAAACTACCCTGCTCTTCCCGGAATTCGACGGCCCCACCAGGAAGGGCACCCTCGTCGTCTTCTTCGGGCCGACCATCAGAATGTCCCGCAGAGACGCCGCGAGCTCCCGAACGTCGAAAGAAGCGGCGCTGCGGGAGTGGTCTCCACGGCTGACCTGTACGAGCACGCCGGGCCATGGGGACATGTCTCCTCAGCGCAGCGGCACACGAGCGTCCAATCGTCCACCGCCACGAAGGCCGCGTTCTCGCGGGCAGACGCCCACTCCTTCGTCTCCTCAAGGTCCGCCGTCAGCTTGCGCACTCGGCTGCGGACGAACCGCTGCATGGCCTTCGTCCCGCGGTCCTGGACGTACGCCATCAGGCTGCCCTTCGCCCACAAGTGCTTGGCGATGATGGTCGAGGTCGAGTCTACGAGGTCGAACGTCGTCTTCGTGCTCATCGCCCCGGCTGCCTTGTCCGTGGCCTCCCGGCGCTTCACCCACACGCCTGCCATGTATGGCTCCTGCGACATCTCGAAGAGGTCGATGGCGTCGTTCTCGCGCGCGAACCCGGCCCAGTCTGGCTGCCACACCCACGGGGCGTCGTCGACATCTGGTTTGGCTGGGGTCTCCATATACCCGTACCTCACGGCGCTCCACATTCGCCGGTGGGAACCACAGAAATGGCTCGGCAACAAATGGCGCTCACGCAGAGTGCGCTTGGCCTGCTGGAAACGGCCCGACCTAGTCAGCTTCGCAGCAACGTGGAAATGGATCGCGCCGTCTTTGTGCTTCTCCTGGAACACCACCGCCATGGACACGAGCGCTTGGCCGTCCGGTTCCTTCCTAGGGCGGCCGCCCGCGGACCCAGTCGGAATCGGATTGTTGAATGCGTCGGCCACTGTTTTTCCGATGTCCTCCCGGCTCATCGTGCCAAGATCGCGGTACTGGCGGCCGTCGGGAAGGGTCGCGTCCAGGACGCGCGATATGGTCACCAAGTAGACCCACTGCAACGAGTCCAGCTTCTCGGCCTCAGCCAACGCGGTCTCCAGAGGCGACGCGGCGTCCTGGTCGGGCTGCGTTTCCGAAACGACCTCGGTTGTCAGGCTCTTGAACTCGTGCTTGCGTTGGTCCAAAGCATGCTCTTGCAAACCGAGTTTCAAAGCGACCTGGCGGCGACACTCACGCAACGAAATGTGTTTCAAGTCCTTGCCTACTAAGACGGCCTTCAAGGCGTCCCGGATGGCTTTGGTTTCGACGGCCTCGGCGTCCACGCCTGCGGACGGGACTGGGGGAGACGGCACCACGTACCCCGTGTCCGTCTTCTGCCGCAAGCGGCGCCTCGGCATAGAGGGGTCTGTGAGCATTGCAGTGCACGGTACTCCCAGTGACAGGTGCCAAGGTCCGTACGGTTCTCCCTATAAGACTTGAGCCACAAGGCAGCTGCAGTGGTTTTAAGCACCAATGGCCATGAGCACCAGGACGGCTGCGAGCACCACTTCAAAGCCTGAGAGCACCTCAGAGCTCATTAAGTAAGAACGGCTTGAGCCGAAGCGCCTGTGGGCGCTACAAGGCTGGTGATCACCGCAACAGCCTCAGAGCACCACAGAACTCGAAAGGACCTCAGAGCACCGCAACAGCTACAGAGCACCACAGGACGTGAGTCTCAACGTGCCTGCGAGCACCGACTGGTCAGAGGAAGGGGGAGGGAGGGGGAGGGAAAGGTATGCCCACCAACTGGACATCGACGACATTCCCAAGACAACCCAAACAGGCGCTGGAACTGCCAAATGGCCCAAGATTGCCCCAAAACCTGTCTGGGTCGGAGCGGGAAAACCGATGCAACTTGTCCCAAGAGTGCAAGCGAGGCCGATTCCCTCTCCCTGAATCCACCGCACTCCGAGGGCTCTGGAAGCGGGGGGCGGAGGGGTGGAGAGGACTTGGGGGTTCTGGAGGGTTCTGGAGGTTTTGGGAAGTCCTCCGAAAGTAGAAAGAGTTTGGGAGGGTTCCCGAGGATTTGGGAGCAGTGCGAGGGTTTCGGATGTATGGGGAGTTGTGGAGGTTTTGGGGGGAGCGCGGAGGGGTTAGAAGGTAGGGGGGGGTTCTGGAGGGTTTGGAGGTTTTGGGAAGTCTTCCAAAAGTTTAGGGGGTGTGGGAGGGTTCCGGAGGATTTGGGAGCAGTGCGAACGAGGGTTTCGGATGCATGGGGGTGGGGGGTGGGGGGAGGAGGTATGGGAGGGTTCTGGAGGGTTCTGGAGGTTTTGGGAAGTCTTCTGAAAATTTAGGGGGGTTGGGAGGGTTCCGGAGGATTTGGGAGCAGTGCGAGGGTTTCGGATGCATGGGGGTGGGGGGTGGGGGGAGTGCGGAGGGGTTAGGAGGTATGGGAGGGTTCTGGAGGGTTCTGGAGGTTTTGGGAAGTCTTCCGAAAATTTAGGGGGGGTGGGAGGGTTCCGGAGGATTTGGGAGCAGTGCGAGGGTTTCGGATGTATGGGGAGTTGTGGAGGTTTTAGGGGGAGCGCGGAGGGGTTAGGAGGTATGGGAGGGTTCTGGAGGGTTCTGGAGGTTTTGGGAGGTCTCCAATAGCTTCGCTGTCGATTTCAAGATCGATCTCACGATCAATATCACTATCGATCTCACTTTCGATTCCACGGTCGACCTTAAGATATATCTCAAAATCCACGATCGATCTCAGAATCGAGCTCACGAAATCCGCAACAAATTCAGTGGGGCGCCGGAACATACGAAGATTGTATAATCGTAGAAAACCAATAACATTGCACAGAATCGGACTCTCCAGGTGCTCTCCAGGTGCACTCCCGGTCAAGCGGCCGCCTCGCGACAGGGCGACGCGACCCTGCGGGTGTCTGAAGGGCGATGATAATGGCAATGCCAATGGAGGGAGAGCGGGAGGCAGGGAGGGAGCGCAAGCGGCGGCCCACATTGCCAGGAATCGGTGCTCTCGCCTCCGCGCCGGTCAATCCTCGCAAGGGGGCGCGCAGAGTCCTGAGAAGAAAAATCAAAACAACAAAAATATATATAAAAAACAATTCCCCCTTTTGGGACGCCGAATTTTCCACCCGGCTGCCCTGGCCCCCTGGGGGTCCCCCATTGCAATCTACCCCTGTTGTCCGAAAACAACAAAAAACAAACAAGTTTCGTTTACGTGTCCTTCCCTGCTCCAATTCAATACCCCTCACAGACTCCGAACCCTCCCTCGGGCAGCGGGGACTACTCCGTCAATCCACGAGAACAATTAAATCTCTGCGGGAAATCTCGGGGGTGTGTGCTTACCAAGCTTGGGAAGGTAGCGCGCCGTGAATGGGGCTGGGGAAGGTCAGTGCCTGGCCGTAGGCCGTCCGGTCCGGACACGTGATCAAAAAAACGACGGGGGGGGGGAAAGCGTGGCCAGCGCGACGGCGAGAGCGCCATTCCGACGTCCACGTGCAACCCTGTGGTACGTAACGGGCCCACAAAGAAAACGGCTCCGACACGAGCGAGGGATCCATGTCCAAACATATTTTCTCGGAGTGTACGCCTGGGGCGTCCGCCGTCGACATGGACGCGGGTCCTGGCGCGGTTCGGTCTGGCCCGGCAAAAGCCTCGGCGCCTGGGCGGGCGTGCGCAAGCCTCCCCGATAGGGAGGAGAGAGGAACACGCTGTGACCAGCGCGACGGCGAGGGTGCCATTCCGACCAGCGACCCGAACACGGCGAACTTCGCCCACGACCCGCGCTCGCGACCTGCGACACGACGCGCGCCCCGCGCCCGCCACCCGTCTACGATCCGTCTGGCCTGGCGGCCCCAACTAGAGCACAACCTAGAGCACAACCTAGAGCACAACCTAGAGCACAACCTAGAGCACAACTCATGAAGGTATATATTTTCATAGAAAAAATGGCACTCAACCTTCCCAAATCAAAAAAGAATCAATACTTTCTTTATTTTCGAACGCGAATGCGTGCCAGACTACCATGAAATGAGTTGTGCTCTAGGTTGTGCTCTAGGTTGCTCTAGGTTGTGCTCTAGTTGTGCTCTAGTTGTGCTCTAAGGCGGCCCCTGGGATAAGCGGTCGCCTGCCCTCCCCGCCCCCGGACCTTCAATCCGACGGAATTGGCTTTCCTCCGTGTTTGGTAGAAGTGGCATAACGCACCGCCAACAAGTCACGAAGGCAAGCGCTGTTGGTCGCAGCACCGGCCGCGAGCTCCACGTTGCAAGCGCCGGGCAACGCGCCCTGCCGCCTCCTCCGCCGCGGGCCAGACGCGCGGGCAACGCGTTGCACGATGTTCTGGACACACGTGCAAACGACATGAAGCCGCAATGATACGCAGGCTGTGTCCCGCGCGGGCCTGCAGCAAGGCCCACGAATTCAAACGGACCCAGTCCGCGGGGAGCACCTCGTCCACGGCAACCGCACCCATCGCGCGGACATCCGCCAGCAAGGCGTCTGCCTGCGCGCGGGGTATGCGCGCGTCGGACATGAGGTCGTCGAAGCCGCTCGCAGGCGGCACGCCCGCGTCTGCCCCGACCGGCGCAGCGGGCGCCGAGCGGAAAACGCCGACGGCGTCGAACTTTGCCGCCTCCCGGACGATCCACGCGGTCATGCACGGAGCACACGAGAGTACGTCCTGCAAAGAGCCGTCCGACAAGACGGAGGTGAATGGGAACTGCCTCGCGTGGTTCTGCATGTGCTGGATGTCCTCCGCACCCACCTTATTCGTCGTCCCCCAGAGGCCCTCCAGCTTGCCCGTGAAAACGGCGCCGTGGTTCCAGCAGACGTCCTTGTTCCCGTCGTTGAAGGATTAGGAAACCTGGATCTCGGTGTGCTGGCCGACGAACAGAGACAGGAACAAAGAGACGGGGACGGTCTTCTCGTGGGCGAACTCAACCGGCCGGAAGTCGTCCCAGAAGATGAACCGCTTCGTGCCGCTGGCCAGGTTCCGGAGTCCAAAGGAGGAGCCCAAGGCAGGCTTGTGCAGAACCCGTTTCGGAGTGAACAAGTCGTCGAAAGGGTAAACCACCGTGCTCTTCCCGGAATTCGACGGCCCCACCAGGAAGGGCACCCTCGTCGTCTTCTTCGGGCCGACCATCAGAATGTCCCGCAGAGACGCCGCGAGCTCCCGAACGTCGAAAGAAGCGGCGCTGCGGGAGAAGATGGTCTCCACGGCTGACCTGTACGAGCACGCCGGGCCATGGGGACATGTCTCCTCAGCGCAGCGGCACACGAGCGTCCAATCGTCCACCGCCTCGAAGGCCGCGTTCTCGCGGGCAGACGCCCACTCCTTCGTCTCCTCAAGGTCCGCCGTCAGCTTGCGCACTCGGCTGCGGACGAACCGCTGCATGGTCTTCGTCCCGCGGTCCTGGACGTACGCCATCAGACGCGCGGGCAACGCGTTGCACGATGTTCTGGACACACGTGCAAACGACATGAAGCCGCAATGATACGCAGGCTGTGTCCCGCGCGGGCCTGCACTAAGGCAAACGCGCGTAAAGCGCAGGAGTCGCGAGCACCGCAGGGCCCTCGCCATGGGCAGCCGAGCACCTCCCGAAAGGCAGGGATGGAACAGTAGCAGCACGGCTACGATTTTCAAGTCTACGGATCCACGACACGTTTCTCGGTGCATGCGCTGCGGCAGGAATTCTGAAATCTCTCGGCGGTCACTGAGGAAAAATCCGCTCTGGCAGAGGCCGAGCCGCCGATTCGGCTGGCTCCCCGGCCGCGGCTGGAAAAATTGCGTCGTGGCAAAGACCGTGCCGCCGACTCGGCTGATCAGCGCCAACGCTCCCGGGCCGCAGGCTCAATCGCTCGGGATCCTGCCTCCCTCGGCCACGACGACCTCCGCCGCCTTCGTCTTCATCTTAGCCACGGCTGCCCTGATGACGCTCTTCGGGATGCCCATGGCGACGCGCCTGAGGCGCGCCTTGTAAGCGCTCTGAGACTCGTTGGCCGGCGCGCTCTGCTCTGCCATTCGCCGGTTGACCTCCGCCCAGAGGAAGTAGTCGAGGGGGTTCAAGTCCGGGGAATACTTGGGTAACTTGATGGGGGGGATCTTGAGGCCCCGCCTGAGAGCGACCGAGCGGGGTCGACCGGGGCGCGAGCGGCGGGCGATCAAGAGCGGGCGCCGACTGGCGGGGCGATCGCCAGACGGGGCCCGACTCGAACTCGCGGCCGCCGCGGTGGCGCGCCAACTAAGGGGGCCGCTTGCAGTCAACGGCCTTCTTGCTCTTGTACCCCGTGGGGTCGTTATCCTCCAGGATGCGGAAGGCGCGGCGCCCCTTCCGGCAACGGCGAAGCGCGGGAGCGAGGACGCCCGCGTAGAAATCGCAGGCTGCGTCGGCGCACCACAGGGTGGGCAGGTAGTGCCAGACGCGGACCTTGTTGTTCACGATGGCTGCGGCCACGTGAACCTTGGCGCCTGGGTTCACCCTGTTCCGGTTCCCCTTCGGCTTCGTGAAAGGCTTGAGGACCTCGGGGGAGGGCCCGGCCAGCCGGCCCCCCGCCCGGCCCCCCCCCCCGCCCCTCGCATCCGAAAGAAACTACGCCAATAAGAACCCTCATACCAGAAAGAAACGACGCCAAGAAAAACATGTCCGATCGCCTGGACGGGGCCGATCAGACCCGATCAGACTTGGATCGCAGACATGGATCGGGGCAACGATCGGGGGCGGAATCGGCATCTCGACTTCGGCGGCCCGGCGGCCCCCGCCCCCAGCCCCTGGGATCGCGCTCGGGACCGAGAGTCGCGCCCCCTCTGCCTTGGTGCGAAGGTGGCCGCGAACGCGATTCTTCTTTGCGTGCGTCTTCGCCCGCTTGGTCATGGGGATGGGGGGCACCTTATTGTCGATGATGGCATCGACCTGGTGCGTGAAATAATTGCCCGGGAGCCGCTTCCACCCCGAACGCGCGGCCACGCGCTCCTCCGCCTCCGCGGAGCCGCGGAGCGGCTCCGCGCGGGGAGCGCGCCAGGTGACCCCGAGGCGCTTGAAGTGCCTGGAGGCCGTGCCCTTGTGGACGTCGGAGACCCGCGCGGCCTTCATCACGTCCTTGAGGTGAATCTCGGCCTCGCCCTTGGCCGCCCGAATCAAACGAACCCGCGCGTTGTTCAAGGCGCGGAGCTTGACGGCCGTGAGCTCGGGCTTGCGGCCGCGAGTCTCCGCTGGGCCACGCCTGTGCGTGGCGCCCCGGAGGGCCCGGCGGACGGTCGTCAAATCCGGCCCAGTCTCGTCGAGGGACTCACGGGTCCGACTAACGAGGTCGCGTATCTCCACCGGGGTCTTCCCAGCGGCGTAGAGCGAGAAGCAGAGGTCGAGCTCCCTCTTGCTGAGGTGGGGCGCCATCTGGGCCCGCGACCGAAAAAGGGGTCAGATGGCCTCGGGGCGGGGCGAGGCCGTTGCTGCGGTGGCGACTGAGCCGAAACAGCTGCGCCAGGTGAACGGAAGGCTTGTCGATGTGACCGGAGCACGCGGCGGCGTTCATAGTCTGGCGTCGCTCTTGACGCCGCCCTCAAGACGGGCGGCTTCGGGCAGCCTCAAAGTCCTTGCAGGGCGCCAACAGGAGAGCGCAACCCGTTGGGCAGCGGGGAGGGGCCAGTCTTGCAACGCAACCCATGCAGATGCCCGTAGCCGAAGATGCCATGGCAAATGAGTCCGCCGTTTGCGAAATAAACGCCCACGTGTGGAAGTACCGAGATCCCCGCCCCGCGCCCCGCATTTCAATGTTGGCCACCGAACACGCCGAAGGGGAGTGCGAAGCGTTGCGAAATAAACGCCCACTTATGTTGGACTGCCCAGCCCTCCCCGTCAACCTTGAAATACGGGGGAAAGGGGGCGTGCTTCGACGTCTTGTTTTCGATCCCTAAGATGGGCGCTTATTTCGCAAACGGCGGTACTATTCAGATCATGCCCCTCTCAAGTTCGAGGTCCGACCCCAGGTTCTCCGCGCCCCTCGATGTCGACCTCGTTCCCGGCCCTGCCCTGCGTCCACGGCTCGTCGACCCTTCTCGGACCGACCCCAGCAAGCCCAATTCGCCTCTCCCGCCGATATCGGGATTCCCAGCGCACCCCCAGCAGCCATTGGGTCGTACTTGTCTGGCCTCGCCGATCCTCATCTTGTGACGCCAGCAGTCAGTTCCGCGCCTCTCAAGCCGGCGGTGTTGGCCGACGTCCAGGCCGCGTGCCGCGGGCTGAAGTCGCGCGCCGACATGGACCCCCAAGATAAGAGAGCCCAAGTGAAAGCCATGACACAACACATCAAACCTCATAAACGACAGTGCGACAGGGCTCAACTTACTTGGGAATTTCAGGGAGGAAGAAAAACACAGCGGGTTCAGACTACAGCATTGGAGGTGGATGGGGAGGTTGCGGAGGATCGGTGGAAGTGGGAGGGGGCGCTTCAGATACACGGGGCGACGGCCATGTCGTGTGCGCAGTCTCGCCCAGAGCAGCTCTCTTTATTACGGCGCCCGCGGGAACGGGCCAACGCGTCGCGTCGGCCAGCGCCGAAGCTCTCTTTTGCTGTCGTGCTGAGAGCGAGAGCCCGCCTCCGCGGGGGGGGGGGGATCGTGCGGGCCCGACGGATGTGCATCCGAATTGTTGTTGAAATCACTTGCGTGGAGATCTGTCCGTCATATCTACACCACATTCCTCTCCATCTATCTCGCGTGCTCTCCGACTCCAGATATTTGGCGACAGGTCCTCATTACTCCGATGCCCAAGGTGCCGACGTTGCGATCATTGGATGAGACACGCTCAACCGTTGTTGCCAATTGTCTTGCCGAATGGCGTGAATAGAATCCGTGTAATACCCTCATATATACTCCTTATCCTCACCTCTCCTGCGCTTGGCCGTTTGGGCTCAGGTATTGGGACATATCGATCAGACCTTTGATCGTGCAGGAGGGAAAAAACATCCATCTATCCCTCCTTCCCTCTACCAGCGGATCAGGGGTTCTGTGCCCTTGTACTTCAACCCCATTCACAGGTTACCAGCCCTTTAAAGCTCACTGTTCATCGAACCCCGCGTCGCGACCTCGCACGCGGCCTCGATGGAACCCAAGCGGCGCATGCGCCGTGAGGGGTCCATCGGGGCCTCGCGTCCGAGCTCTCCGACGGCGCGACGGCTCGGTGATGAGTTGGAGAGCCTTAGTGCGGACTGTGTTGGTGTCCCAGGTACCCCCCGCTCCGACGGACCCGAGGCGCGGCTAGCTGCTGAACTTCACCGCAGCGCTGCCCGCGGGGGGGCAGGATAAGGAGTAGGAACAGGAAGGACAGAGTTCCACATGCCTACCTTCGATCCCCCATCTCCTCCTCAGTCGGGAGCAATCCCAACTGCGTCAGGCGAAAGCCTCACTGGTCCTGATACTCCAGGGCGCTTTCGCGCTAACCGCCGATGGACCTCAGGTGCTGGCACCCCCAGCCCTGCGACCGTTCCTGTTGCGGAGCACGTGGCCACCTTCGAGGAACTCAGTAGACCAGTGGCGGCACAGCCGCAGACGCAGTATCCCAAGGTATCATCGGATGAGACACCGCACACATGGTCCTAGCCGCAGCTCGTCCGCGCGCAACCGTCGTGTGGCCCCAGGCCCATACGGCGAGAGTAGGTCGAGCCCGCGTACAGCCTCTCAGAGGCCAAGCACTCCTCGCGAGAGGGGGCAGAGGGAAGCCAATGCTCCCCACCTCTCCATCTCAGACGACCAGCTGGCGGAAACGTCCGCCGCAGGTGAAATAGCTGAGCTCAGAGACCAGGTTGAAACCTTCGTGTCCAGGCAATACTCTGGACTACTGAAGAGCGTTCAGACGAACGCTGCCAATACTGCAGCCATACGCCAAGATCTTGACGGCGCCTTAGGGATCATTGATTCCAGGATCGCCGAAGATCGACGCATCATAGGTGAACTGCAGTACCAGGTTGATCGTGAGGTGTCACACTCAGGTGAACGAACGGCAATGGTCGAAAACCTGTGCAACTACCATGCGCAGATGGAGCAACAGCTTGTGCTCGTACGCGACACAGGCGTTTCAGCAGTCAGGATCTTACACGATGAGATCCACGACCAGCTCCGCAACCGACCAACACCAGCCGAGGCCACCGACCTTGGCGACGTTCAGTCTCATATCAATGATCTTCGATCCCACATAGACCACACTACGGCGACGCTTCGCAACGAAGCACACACCAACTCGTCGAACCTGATCGACATGTTGCAGCGTACTGAGAGAGTCATCACTCAAAGGCTTGATGCGACCAACGCTGTCGTGCAGCCACTCGCTAACCGGATCTCTGAAATCGAGCAGCGTTTTCCTGGTGTACAGGACGCCCTGGCAGAGTTGCGTGTCGGACGAGCCCAGACTGGCCAGCTGGATTCTCCTCCCACGGTTTACGATTTCGCCCGCCTCACTGACAGGTTGCAGGAGGTTGAGAAGGCGGCGGACCACACGCAGTTGGAGCTCTCCCAGGTTCTTCGTGAGAGAGATACTGAGAAAGTACGTGTCGATGGGGTTCCTCGCACGTCTGGAAAGCGAGCTGGAGGCACAAGGCGCCCGTCTCCGAGCCTACGAGCAACGACTTGATCGGTACTCACAACGTTCTCGGGATTCTGATGAGTACACACGCCAAAAGGTGGCCCAAATACACGAAGACATGACGAGCTGGACGAATCAGCTGATCGACCACACCAACGACACCAGTCTCCACCTTCGACTTGCAACCGACCTGCACAGGCCGACGGCAGCGTCCGCCGAAGCACCACAAGCTTCTGCAGGACAACAACGACGTACGTCACCAGGAGCAGCCTCCGCGGCAGCTTCTGCACAGACACGCCATGTGTCTCCTGTGCGCACAGAACCGACTATTGACGGTGTACCGATACCCTCGCAACCATTGTCTGCGGTTTCGGTCAATACTACTACTCCTATCACGGAGTCAGACACCGTCCGAGTCCCTGTCTTGCCTAAGATTACACAGCTGCTCGAGTGGCAGCAAAAGGTACGGAAAAACTTTGGCGCCGCCTCAGGGCGACCATCCAAAGCATATGCCTTCCTATGCGTGGCTGAACAGCCCGGGTGTACCTTCGAGGACTTCCAAGACAGTGGAGATTTTGAGAGCATCGATTGCAAACTCGCTACCGCTCTGAGCGACATCTTATCCTCAGACTTGCGCTACAAAACCAGGCTCATCGAAACCAGAGAGCACAAAACAGGACGCATGCTCAAAGGACGCCAGATATACTGGCACATCCTACAGTCCTACAAAGTGACAGAGGTTGATGACGACCTGCACGACTTCGAGCGCCTTGAAGAACTGAGGATGAGAGATGAAGATCGGCAACGTTTTATTACTGACTGGGACGCTTTATTATTGGAGTGCCGAGAAGCACCCGATCCAAAGATCTAGGAATCTCTGTTTCGTAGACAGATTCGAAGACATGCCAGGATGAAACAAGACATGTACGAGTACCAGCGCATGAAGATCAGCGACCCGAATCGTACCTATGATTGGCTCCGACAGCGCGTCCTGGACGTACTGGAGCTCAAACAATTGGAGAATAATCAAAATAAGTTACGGTACGAACATGAGACACGTTCTCAAGTCAATGTGTGCGCTGCCTGGAAGAAAGGCAATTGTCGCAATGGTGAACGGTGCAAGGCTTTGCATACATATTCCAGGGATTGGAAGAACAACAAATCTTCCAGAGCATCGACAGCTGGTGGCAACTCCCGCCGCAGCGTGTCAACTCCTGCGGATCACAAGAAGCCAGCATCGGAAGCATTTTGCTTCGAGTTCGCCAAGCGCAACACATGCACCAGAGGCGACAAGTGCAACTTTCCACAGGTTGCACAGTGCAAAGACTTCGCACAGAACAAGTGCCCCAAGGGCGACAAATGCAACTACGCACATCTCACACCTGGTGCGAAGACTCCCGAACGAAGCCCGAGTCGACCACGGACCTCCACTCAGGATAGTCGTGGCCGATCACCATCCCGCGGATCAGGAAGCCAACGTTCTTCACAACGCGGGGGGTTCCGCTACGCAAGCGACTCACGCCCTGGACGTGACAACCGACGCCAATACGACCGATCTCGTTCAACATCCAGGAGGTCTCTAGACTCGCAGTCAATCGAGAAGTCGATACGACAGGTCTTCGAGATCTACCTCCCGAGGACGAGACAACCGTGGCGGCGGACGCGGCAGCCCACGCGGCCGTGATAAATCATATGGTAGTGACAAAGGACGTGGCAGACGTTCCCCGAGCCGTGGTTCGTCCCGTGGTTCTCCCCACGCCAGAGCACGTTCTCCTGCCAACTATCGACGTTCACGCCGTTCCGACCGCAGTTACGTC